CTGTCCAGGCCGGGAGGGAGCCCCTCGCGAGAGGCCCGCCTGCCCGCCTCGGCGTTGCGGGCGTGCGGAGAAGCCCGTCGGGGCCCCGGGGGACGGGGAAGAGGCGTCCTTCTCCCTTTGAGAATTTTCTTTGGATGGCCGCCTCCCCCGTTGTCTCTCCTTCCGGTCCCGCCCTTTACCTCGGGTCCCAGCCCTTCCTCCCCCGCTAGGCCTGGGCCCAGAGGAGCGAGGGCGCCTGCCCCCAGCACCCTGGGGGGTGCCCGCCTCCTGGGGCGCTGGGCAATAAAGGGCACTATGGGATTGTCTGCCGAGCCTGGTTCTTGGGGGCGGGCCGGGGGCTGGCCTCGTGGGGAGCGCCTGGCGGGAGGGCCCTGTGGGGGCGGGGAGCCCGAGAAAGCCCCCCAGCCTGGGGGGAGTGGCCCGCGCCCTCCGGCGCCAGCCCTGAAGGCAGCCTGGGCCCTCTGGGCTCCTGGCAGGGCTGAGGGCTGGGCTGCGTGGCCGGAGCCGCGACCCCACAGCTGCGGGGCGGCTGTGGCCGGAGGACCAGCAGGGCAGAGCCCGAGGCGGGCGGCAGCTCTGGCCTGCGGTGCCGTGGAGACGCCAGGTGCCGCAGCGAGTGGGCTCAGCGCGAGCGTCCGAGCGCGGGGCGGGGCGTGGGCGGAGTGCCCGGGGCTTGGTCAAGCAGCCCAAGAGCTGCATTCTGGCGAGTCCAGGGTGGGCGGGGCCGGGCCCCCTCCACGCACACGGGCTCCGCAGGGAAAGCAGCTCGGGGCTGGTGGGCGCCCCTGTGCCCCGCGCTGTGAGGGGCGCGGCCGGGCTGCGGCCCAGGCTCTCCAACCCTGCCCCAGCGTGTGCTGGGGCCTCGGGGGCTGGGGCAAGGTGGGGTTCCAATCAGCAGGTAGGCGCTGAGGGGAGATTTTGTTCACCGGACACAGGACTCGCCAGGGTTTATCTGCTGCTCCCCGGAGCCCACCTGCAGGTGGCAGGCCAAGCTCCGTCAGGGGCGGCTCGGCGGCGGGGGGCGCCCGGCCCTGGCCGGTGATCGCCCACCTGCCGCGCCCTGCGCCTGGGCGCCCAGGACTCACCCCGGCCGCACTCCCCGGAGGGCCTTCAGCACCACGGACAGGGCCGCACCGCCGGTGTCCCGCCAGGCTGGCGTCCCCGCCGGCCTGGACCGCAGGGAGGCCAGTGTCGCCGCCCCACTCTGCGGTGGGCGGTGCATGAAGGAAACGCTGGTCATTGCTGCCACCGACTTGGCTTCTCACCGTGTGAACGCAGCAGGGTGGTCATGAGATGGCCGTGCCCAGTCCGGTGGGGGTGAAGCGGGGCGCTGGGGGCCCAGTGGGGCCCCCACAGTACCTTCCATGCGCATCGATGAAATGCATAGATCAGGTAGCGGTTTCTTTCTTGAGGGAAACCACCTTTCAAGAAACGTGGAAAAGTTGATTTTGCACCGAAGTGGTGAGCCACAGCTCCTGGGCGCCACGCTTTCAGAAAGCCTTTGCACGCGGTAGCCGCGGCCTTGCCTGCTGCGGCCGCCGGCGGGGCACAGGTCTAGCAAACGCTTTCTGGGTGCCCGCGCCCTGCCCGGTCAGGGCTGCTGGTGTTGGGCCAAAGCTGCAGAAAGCCCCTGGGTGGCCCGGGCCGGGCCCCGCGGGCGCCCACCACAGCCACAGAGGAAGCGCGGCTCTGCTTTATGAGCCACTTTAGCCTCCAGACTGGGCAGAAGGCCCCTGCCCCCTTCACGGGTCGGCATCCCCCGAGGGCCCCCGCGGAGAGCAGGCCGGCTCCAGGCCACACACCAGCCCGCTCTCCTCGCGCCGCCGGGCGCCTGGGCACGCTGATGGCCGGCCCCCAGCTGCCCGCTCGCTCCCGAACGCCCCGAGCTGGACTGCCCGAGTCTTGACACACGTGGGGCCGCTCCGGGAGCAGGATCGGCAGTGGGCAGGTGCTCTGGCCGTGGTGGGGGGGAGGCAGGGGTGCTGCCTGCGGTGAAGGGCGCGGCCCCCCACGAGGCGTCACCCAGCCCCCCCTGCCCCTCAGCCTGAGGCTGGGAACTGGCCGGCCGAGGGCCGAGGGCCGAGGGCGGCGCACTGGGCCTGGCC